TTGGAAACTTCTGGAACGTCTGCCAAAGTATTATTCTGGAGAAAAATGCTCCTTTGTTTGAAGAAGCTTCTTCAAGAACCTTTAAGTGAGACACAGAGGATGGGTGGGGCTAGAGTGGGCGAGCAGGAGCCATCAGAGGAGGTTACCTCCAGGTCGCAGCCTCACGCACCCTGGGGGCCCACCCGCATTGCCCCCTCCTGCCCAAGGAGAGCCTCAGCAGGGCTCTCCCTCTGGAGTATGCAAGGGAGAGGTATGCTCCTACCTTAAAATCCTCACCCACCTATAAAATGCAATCCAGAGCCCTTGCCTTGGACTCAGGCCGTATGCAACAGGCCCCTGCCTCTCCCATAGCTCTTCACCCATCAGGATCATACCACACCATCCACACTAGCTTCCCACCAACCACAATCCAGCCTCAACATCTGCCTTTGCGCTGTGATCTCCTGCTGGACCGTGCACTCCTAGACATCCAAACAGCCTGCTCCTTCATTTCCCCCAGTCTCTGCTCAAATGTCACCTCCTCAGAAAGGCCTCCCCTGACCTGCCAGCTCAAATTGCACATTGTTGCTCTCTGTCTCCTCACTCTGCTTAAATTTCCTTCATAGCAGCGATCATTACTGATGTCAAAGTATAATTTCCAAAGAGCCAAAAAAGCATGACTCCCACCCATGCATCCAGTGGGATGGGTCAGTGCTTTATTCAGCTCATTAGCATGAGAATCAGCAGAATGACATAGCTGGTCAAAGTGGGTATGAGAAGCCCATCTATATAGTCAATGGAAAAAGAGTGCTGGAATAAGACTGCAAAGTTAGACACCAAATTGGTTAATGTCCTATAGCACAATAGAACGGTGGCCTTTGGGGTTATCTTTTCTTCTAGACAGAAATCATTTGCATCTGTGTGGGACAAGAATCATTTGCAGCTATCAATCTTCTTTAAGTTAACATTTCACTTCTCAGAGTCTGGGCCCTAATCAATAGTAAATAGTAAGTCAAACGAACAAAATTGCTCTCCTAGAACGGCACTGTCCAAAAGGACTTTCTACAATGAAGGAATGTTCTAGATCTGTGTGCCCGCCAATATGAGAGCCCAGCCTCATGTGGCCAGTCAGCTCTCGAAATGTGGTTGATGTGCCTGAGAAACAGAATTTTAAATTTACTGTTTACATGAAATTAAATTTCAGTAAAAGTAATTGATATATGAAATATACTTATGCATATACTAAAATAATATGTAATTTAATATAACTAGAATGTAATGATTTAATATGGTACAATATAAATACTAAGTAGATACATAATTTATTATATTAAGTATATTCCATTAATTTAATATAAGGTTAATAAGTTAAATTTAAAGTGCCCCATGTGGCTAGTTGGCTACCCTATTGGACAGCATAACCCCAGGAGGTCAGGTGACAAGTAGCCAGCTTGTTAGACAATGCTGTAGTTGCAAAGGCCTTTGGTCCATGTTTTGAATAAGTTTTCTGGACTGGTATCATATTATATGTTTATCTGTTTGTTGTCTTTGGTCCCAATTAGGAAGCAGGCTTTGTAATAGCAGGAACTTTGTGTTGTTCTCTGCACGTGCCCAGCACTTAGATAGGGTTCCCGGACCTTGGCCAGTGCAGTCAGTGACTGTTGAGTAAAAACATAAGCACAAGGAGGCTGGAATCTTACCAGAAATCAAACCATTGGTGAGTTTGGCTGATGAGCATTAGCAAGTATGATGCCTGATGTTTCAGTTTAAGTGGTTTTCTTATTCTGTAAAGTAATTCCCTGCTGTGAACCTCCAACCTGCAGTGCACATATATGGCTCTGGTTTATGGTTCAGGAGGGGTGGGGTGAAGTGTTGTAGGGAGATGTGAGGCTCGCAGGGTGAAATGTTGGGGGTGTGGAAGGATTGAGCTAGGTGTCAACATATAGAGCCAGAGTGGACAGAGGACTCCCCGGGGGAACACAAGTGCTTCCTGGGGATCCTCAACTTATCAGGGAGATCTTCAACTTACCAGGGAGAACCTCAGGTACCCCATAGTTAAAGAAAGTTAGATCTAGCTATTTACTTTGGATAGTGTACTAGTCAGAGTAGATGACCTACAGTAACAAACAGCCCTACAATCTCAGCAGTTGAACATAGCAAGTTCCCAGGAGAGGTTCCTGGCCTTAGAGGGCATTATCTAGTGGGGGTAGATCCAACTCTTTGTCTGTTTACATTGAGTGGCCTGGGACCGCACAACTGCCTCTTAGATTCTGGTGTTTCACCTCTTGTTGTGCAGAGGACAGACCTGGGCCTGGAGAGGAGAAGGGACTGCTTAGAGCACTAGCAGGCAGTGGCAGAGCTGGGCCTTGAACCAGAGGCTTGTGATTTTCCATTAAGGATTCCCCCAAAGCCTCCTTCAAAGATGCTTGCTCTTTGGACCTGTGCCCTGGTCCTCCTGCCCTTTCCCCTGCCATCAATGGGGCTAAAATGAAGCGGGAGGAGGAGAAGTGGTGGGATTTGAAGAGATGTCTTGTAGGCTACAGGAACCTTTATTTATCAGGTCCCGTTTTCCAGGCATGGGCCCCTCCATGTCACCATGCTATTTGAAGTGAGGGGGCTTATGCAGGTGGCAGGCACTGGTCTCTAGCTGTGGGTGAAGCTGGGGTCCCAGACTGCTATTTGCCTACACACCCCTGATATATGTGCTGCACTCTCTCCTCCTACCCCTGGGGATTCCCTGTTCCCTCTCCCTTTTCACCTAACAGGAATCTACCTGCATCAGAGTTGGAAGGATCCTTAGAAATCATCCAACCCCTCATTTGCAGCTGGAGAAAGAGACCTGGAGAGGGAAGGGGCTTACACTTGGCCACACAGCCGGTTGGGGCAGAGCTGGAACTAGAGCCCAAGGCTTCTGAACCAGCCAGGGGTTTTCCCGTGCTTCAGGCTGATTCTTGCCTATTATCTTATCTTGTTTCATCTTGTCTCATCTCATTAAGGATCAGGGGCTGGAGAGGCAGCACTGAGATGGGATCTTCAAATCGACTTTAGAACACTCTTGGCTTGTACAGTGTATCATCTGAGACAAACACTCCCCTGTTCCCGTGCCCCGCACCTAAGCCTGGGAGTGCAAACCAACCCAGCCTCCCTCCTAGTCACCCTCCATTGGCCAGGCTGTCTGTGGGGTCCTAGGACAAAGTCTGGACAGGGAAGAGGTAACAGTGAATATACCAAGGAAGATGGACAGGCAGCAAACTGTTAGGATAGTCCTTTGGGATTTAATGGAGTTCTCTAGAAAGGAAGGTAGAGGGAGATTGGAGCAGGAGAAGAAGAAGCAGAGGCAATAGCTGAGGCATCTTGTTGTCCCAGGAGAATGAGGGGGTATAACAGGGACCCTTCCTACAGGGGGTCTTCCAAGCTTGATTTCAGGATTCCTTACAACAAAGGCAAAACTCTGAATGCACTTGGTTCACTCAGTCAGGACTCTTTTGATTAAATCCAACTCGAATGTTAGGTCATGGAAGAGAGGAGGTTATTGGGAAGACACTGGGCTTTCCCATGTCACTAAACACCAACAGATCATGTTTCTGTTGACTTCAGGGACATAGCAATTCAGTGCAGCCAAGACCCTCCTCCCATCTTTCATCTCTGCTTATCTACGTGTCAGCCCCATTTTCTAATGGCTTCTTCCATATTAGGGGACACAGGGATGACCAGTCTCCAGTGTCCCACAGCTCAGAACTTTGCCCCAAGAGACGAATGGTTCCTTTTTCCCGAGGTCCAATTGAGGGAATCCCTGGAAGGACTTAAATGATCCTGGGTTGGGGTCGGATGCCCACTCATGGCCTGAACCACAGGGAGAATAGACAACCACAGGGAGCCAGCGAGGCTCCTCCCAGGAACCCACTCTGGTTGATTTCCTGGGATTGCTTGTTGAAGTCTCCTCTATGCCACACCCTGTCGGGGCTGAGCTGCGAGCAGCCTTGACTTTAGGGTGATCACAGGAGCTAAGCACAAGGCAGGAAGGGCCCCAGGCCTAAAAGAGAGACAGACATGGTGCTCTGGGATGAGAGTGGTTTTAGAATCAGCTACAGAGAGCAGAATGTGCGAAAGCTTGGAGGGAACCGTGAGCCTCTTGCACAGGGTAAGTAGCGGGTGATGAGGCTTATGAACAAGGCTATGAGCTCCGGATTTGTGCTGGAGGCAGTAGGGGGCCAGAGGGCAGGGAAGGGACCGAGTCAGACCTGTGCTGTGTCTGGCATGGGGTTGCTGAGTGGCTCTGGTTTAGGAACTCCCCTCTCAGTGATGTGTGGAGAGGAGCTGAGATTGAAGTCAGAATACCGGGTGGGGGTGAAGCTTATTCCAGGGTGGCCTCAGCACTCCAGACACAATTATGGAAAAGCTATTATTAGCATAATTGAGCTCCTTTGTTCTTGTGCTATTTCTCCATGGGAGCCGGGAGAGAGACAGCACTCCTCAAGCAAAGGGGAAAGGGATTGCTCTGTGAAAACAGTTCATTTGCTGAAGAAGCTGCTTGTGAGCAAATTCTAACATCTCCGTAGCGTTCCTTCCCTGCTTCTGGTCCTCGAGATGGCTGCTCCACCATCAGCTCCACTGAGGCCATTAGAAGCGTTGGCCAGCCCTGTGGTGAGGAGGAAGCTCTGGGCAGCTTGGCTGGTGACAGGAGACCACTGAGGCTCTGAGGAGGAGGGCAGAGAAGGGTCAGACACGTGGCCTTCCCTCTTGGGGATTCTGGGCCTCTCTCCTGGCATCAGGATAAACAGAGCATCTTCCTGAAATATCTGTTGTTACCAAAGAGTTTGGAAGAGAAAAATCATGTATCATTTTTATATTAAAATCAGATGGATATATTATGGAGTAGAACTCCCATGATGCATACTTAAAAATGTTTGGTAAAATACACCTAACATAAAATGTATCGTCTTAACTATTTTTACGTATTCAGTTCAGTAATGTTAAGTATTTCACATTGTTGTGCAACCTTGCAAAGCAAAACTCTGTACCCACTAAACAATAACTCCCCACCCTTCCTCCGTCTAGTCCCAGGTCATCACTATTCTGTTTTCTGTCTCTATGAATTGGACTACTCTAGGTATTCCATATAAGTGGAAGCATAATTATTTGACTTTTTATGTCTGGCTTGTTTCATTTAGCATAATGTCCTCAAGATTCCATGTTGTGCCATGGAACAGGATTTCCTTCCCTTTTAAGGCTGAATAATACCCTGTTGTATGTATTGGTCACATTTTGCTTATCCATTCATTCATCTGAGGACCCTTTGGGTTGTTTCTACCTTTTGGCTCTTGTGAATAATACTGCTGTGAACATGGGTGTACAAATATCTCTGAGAAGTTCTGCTTTCAATTCTTTTTTAAAATATGTTTTTAATGATTTTAGAGAGAGGGCGAGAGAGAGAAGTTCTCTGTAGGCCCCCACTGGGGATTGAGCCCACAGCCCAATTATGTGCTATGACCCGTTCCATTCCCAGTCAAGGGCACATGCCAAGGTTGCGGGCTTGATCCCTAGTAGGGGGTATGCAAGAGGCAGTCAATCAATGATTCTCTTTCATCATTGATGTTTCTATTATCTCTCCCTCTCCCTTCCTCTCTGAAATCAATTAAAAAAATATTTTTTTAAAAAGAGAGCATTAGGCTCAGAGATGGGGCAATACCTTCCCCCCTGGGGCTACCCAGAGGGTAGCTTTGTGGAGGAATGCTATCAAGCTGGGCAATGAAGGTAGCGAGGTAGAGGGAAACGGTATTAGAGGAGGAGGCCACACCTGAGCAAAGGCCTGGAGGAGCAGCAGTTTTTTTGAGGGAGCCATTTGTTGAGGAGACAGGAGAGAGTTTTCCTCTTACCTGGACAGAGCAGGTCTGAGGGATTCCAGTGGCTTGGGACTTACCCTCACCCTCCTTGCCCCACCAGCCAAGTTGCCCTTCCTTTAGGCCAGGGGAGCCAGTGTTCGGTTCCTTGACCAGACTTCTCCTCTGAGTTTGGCCCTGCCAACTACCCCCTTTTCTCCAAACTCTTTCCATGACTTCCTGACACCTGCCTCTATTGATTTTTCTCCTCTTGTCAGACGGTCCCTCCTGTCTTCTCTGATTCTTCCTTCAGCTCCTGAGTGTTTCTCAGGGAGAAAACCTGGCAGCTTTCAGCGTGATGTCTTCGTGCAAACCTGCCATCTGGATCCCAGGGAAGGGGCTGTCAGCCTTGATTGCTGGAGCCCCCAGAGGAACCCCCTTTGTCGCCTGGCCTCCCTTGCCCTAGATAAAGCAGCAACTGCTCTTTTCTGGCCTCGGTAATTGATTCAAGTTCCCAAAGGCACCTGGGCATCCAGTTAAGAGGACAGTACCCGATGGCTTCAGGCAAAGGTGTCAGAGGTCCTCCTTGTACCTGGTCCTGTGATAGAAACAGAGATGAGCCTGCCTGGCCCCTGCACTCCAAGAGGACAGCCAGATGTGGGAAGAGGCGGTCACAGTCTTGTGATGGGCGGTGTGGGGACCATCAATCCAGCATCAAGGCGAGGCTTCACGTAGACCTGACAGCCTCGCTGGGGAGATGAGAACACGAGCCGAAAGCAGCCTGTTCTCAGAGGCATCAGAGATACAAACAAGTGCTTTAGGCATTGAAAGAACAGGACACTTTTTTCTTACTTGAAGATGAAGGTGGCGCAAAGACTTCCTGGATGAAGCAGAGTTTGAGCCACGCCCTGGGAAGGTGGAAGCAGGATGAGGTGGAGATAGAAAGGCTAGGGATGAGGATGAGCGGGGCGCCGGGACAGGAACCTGTGCACTGATTCTGAGGAATGGCATGGATTTGGGATGGCTGAGCCTTTTGGTGATGGGGAGTCACTGAAGATTCTTGAGGAGTGGAGTGCTGGGGTGGGAGGAGGGCAGTGATCGGCACGGCCATTAGCTAGAAGTATTAGGTTTGGGAAAAGTGAAATCCAATCTGTATGGACTCATTAAATGATTTCTGGGTCAGCAAAGCGGGAGCAAGTCTAACCTTTTAAAGCAGTTGCTTGAGGCATCGATGTCCAGCTCCTGCTCAGCTGATTCTCAATCTTTCTAAAGATGTCATTTTAACCTAGTTTCCTGGGGCTTGTACAATTGAATATTTGATGCTTTAAAAATTGAATTGGAAACTCTCAAACAAGGTAGAAAGAGCTGTCATTTCAAGAGGAGTGGATGAGGTCACCTAGGGAGACTATAGAGAGGTGGACGCAAGTTCCCGGCAGGAGGACAGGCCAGCAAGTTTTCAGGAGCCAGGAGAGGTGGGAAGGGTCCAGACTAAGCCACACCCCAGAGGAGACATGGTGTTGTGACGCCCTCAGAGAGCTCCAGTGAATGGGCAGTGGAATTCTGTCTGTGCTTTAGCCAGAGAGGGGTGGGATGGAAGCCAGCTCAGAGGGGCTGTGAAAGGAATAAGAGAGCCTAGGAGCCAGAGGGGTTTTTGAGTTTTTGGTTTGTCTTAATGAGGAGACACCCGATTGTGTGTTAGTGCTTAAGGAAGAGGCTGAAGTTTGGGGAGAGGAAGGCGACCCTGGAGAAGATGGGCAGGGACAGGAATGAAGGCCAGAGGCAGCAGGATTACCTTTGTCGCCAAAGACCCTCTGCACACATCTGTGCTGCCTGCAGAGCACACATTCTGCCTTATCTTTTTGTTTTGGTCACTTAAGATAATACTATACGCATTTCCACACAGTATTCACACTTACCTTTTAAAATCAGTTCTTCAATTACAAAAGTAACACATGTATATGGTAAAACAAAATGCAAACAATTCAGAAAGGAATAAAAGATGAAAGTAAAGGGCTTCTCCATTTTCTTCCAGCCTGCCTTTTCCGATGTAACTGCTTTTTATAGTTTTCTTGGGAATTCTTCCCAAAACTTGTAACGCATATATGTGTATGTATGCATATATTTTAAAATAGACAAGTGGGATCTGACAGTGTTCTATTCTGCACCTTGCTTTTTTTCACTCGATGCTGTATCTTGGAGGTACTTTCTTATTAGCATATGGAGAGAGTGCTCATTCTGTTTCAAGAGCAGGATGGTATTGTGGAGATGGGGCAGGATTGTTTAACCAGTTCTATATTGACATGGTGTTGTTTCCACTCTATTGCCATTAGAAGTGATACTTCAATGTGCCTTTTAGCCCATTCATCTTTGTGCCCAGGGGGAACTATTTTTGTACATTAAATCCCTAAGAATGCAATTATTGGAGTCAACAACAATATATACATTTAAAGAGGATACATATTATTACATGGAATTGTTGGTCTGTATAAGAGCATATATATTTACAAGTGTGATAGTTACGGACACATTGCTCTTCAAAGAAGTTTCATAAATATTAATATTTCAAAATTTGGGTAGGAGATATACCAATGTTAATTATATTACTGCCTGTATTTTTCTATATGCTTACTAGTTTACATTCATGCATAATAGGTTACAACATGTACACTCCCATGAACAGTAAATGAGCATGCCCCCCCCCCCATTTTGCCAACAGGACATTAACAGAATTTTAAATCTTTGCCAATCTGAAGGGGGAAACATAGTATGTTTCTATTGCTTTAATTTGATTTATTTAATTATGGGGATGTCTGATCATGTTTTCAGTGAATTGCTTTTTCTATTGAGTCACATTTCTCGAATGCCTACAGAATATTTCATTTTATGTATGTATTCTCATTTACTTAACTATATTTTCGTGGGTTATTTATGCTGTTTCCAAATGACTGCGAGCATCTTTGTACATAAAGCTTTGTTTTCTCTTCTTCTTTTAAGCTTTTTTCTTTAGTGTTCCATTTCAGAAGATGAATTGCTGTGTCGATAGTGTAGACATTTTTATGACTCAATATATATTGTCAAGTTGCTTTCTCTAATGACAGTACAATATATAGTACCCTCAATTTCATTATATTCTTATTAGCATTGGGTATCCATAATAAAAAATAATTTTTGCTAATTTTATAGATAAAAATATTTTTTTGCAAATTTTTACATATAAAATACTTGCTAATTTTATGGCCATTTTATTTGTATTTTTCAATACCAGTGAGGTTGAAAGTTTTCATATATGTTTGTTAATTAACCGCATTTTCTCCTCTGAGCTGCCTGTTCCTTTTTTCTGCTCATTTGACTTTTTATACAAAGGAAAGAAGGTGATGTCTTATTGGGGGAAACCCCGATTTCTTCAGGCCTTGTGACTTTCTGGGACATTATTGACTGATACAACATTATAAAAGTCAATCTCTTATATGAGAACGGGGGTGGCAGTGGCTGGAAAAACTTAGAGGAATGTAGATGGGAGAACTGAATGAATAGGATTCCAGGTTATGATGAGAGGGGTGGGGAGGAATTTGTGAGGCAGGATAAAAATCCATGGGCAGCATAGCATCTGTGCTGGGCTCTCAGACCTCTCCATCTCTGACCTTGCACGTGACACTCCGGCGACCAGTGCAGCCAGGACCGTGTTTTGGAGTTCCAGCCTGGGTGTGGTCACTTCTGCTAGCGGAGGCTTTCTTCCAGGCCAGTGCTGCAGAGGAGAAAAAGGTTGGGATGAAGGAGGATTTTGCCTAACCCTGGGTGAGCCATTATTGAGCACAGTCCCCCTTGCTTATCCAGGTAGCCATTCAGTGTCATCATTATTGAACAGTCTTTGTTAATGAATTTGATACCTAGAGTTATTGTTTTAATTTATATTTCTTTTATTACTACTTTTCATATATAGAAATATCTATCATTTTTCATATTTAGGTATATTTACATATATGTATACATGAATAATATATGTCCATACCATTTAATACTATTTTTTTATGTCTGTGTGTGTGTGCATGTGTGTGTATTCTCTCCTTTGGAGGGAATTGTTTGTGCTCACTTTTCCCCCCTGTTAGGATGTTTTATTTTCCAAGTAATCTTTCTGTATTAAAGTACGAGACTGTCATATTTTTCACAGACATTATTTCTAATTTGGCATTTACCTTCTAATTGTACTTATTTTTTCACTTTTTGTTAATGAGATGCACAGAACGTGTTAGGTTGCATGAGTTTTGACACGTGCATATACCTGTGTAACCTACATTTCTGTTGCCCCAGAAAGTTTCCCTGTGTCCCTTCCCAGTCAATCCTCATCCCCTGTCTGCTCTGCCAGAGGCAATCACTGCTCTGATTTCTATCACCAGAGATCAGCCTTGCTTGTTCTTGCATTTCGTGGAAACAGATCATGAAATATGTACCTTTCTGTGTCTAGCTTCTTTCACACAACATAATGTGTTTGTGACTTAGCCATGCTGTGCTGTTGGTAATGTTGTCACTT